TATGTATACATTTGTCTATATCTATCTCGATTCGTTTTGGCTGTTACAAACAACCGTTATGTGAACAAAATTAATATACCCTTGTGCACAAGTGCGCTCGGGTATAACAAAAGTTCTGTAGATTTAGTTGCGGCCGACATTATTTGATTGTGAAAATTTTTCTTAAGACAAATTCAACGAGAATTTGCAAATGCGCAGCTCCGTGCCAAATTTTTGTACTGCTATACATATGTACATTTTCATACATATGTACGTAGTCAAAGTAGTTACTTTCTCGAACATTTCTGTTGCTTGAAAAATCGTGCGGGGGTAGTGTATCTACAGTACTTAGTATAGTTTGTCAAGTTTGTTTGACTACTTAGTAAGTTTTTACGATAAGTAAGTTTCAAGAATGTTTATTTTTTACTCGAGATTTCTGCTGGAAGTTCTTTATGCATACATACATACTTACAAGGGTGTCCACCGAAAATAATTTTTTTGGAAATTTCCAGAGCCTACCACCTAGTTTTATTTGTTGTTATTCGTGGCAAAGTATGTTCGATATTTTTGTTTTTGTTTGGAAGAAACTACCTGCAAAGGAATTCCCAAAGGTTAATACGATTTTTTACCAACTTCAAGCACATTGTTATACTAAAATGCCAAGTATTGTAAGAAGTTAAGAGATTTTGTTATGTTTTTTGTTGTAGTATCAACAATATCTTTATAAAATATTCGCCGAAAATTTTAAGTAAAAAATGTTGCATATATTGTGAAAAATTCCTTATGCCAATAATTTAGTGCGGCATTATACATACATAAATTTTTATTATTATTTTGGTAAAGTTTTTAAGTAATGTAGAAATATTTTCATTGAAGCTTCGTTAAAATTTTTATATATGTGATTTTACTTTTGTTTGTTATTTATGGCCTTATAACAATTATATTCAACAATTTGATTGAGCTTGAGGCCGTTATTAATAAAAAATTTTGTGGAAAAACAACAGTACATAATTTACATTTTGATAGAAGTTATAGCTGCTGTTTCGCGCTGCTATTCTACTGCCTTTTAGACTTAACAATGTGGTTAATGTTATTGCGCAATGACCTATTGGTCGCAGTGCTATATTCAACTATCTAACTATGAAATGCTCTCACAAAAGTGAATAAACTGCCCAAATCCACGGGAACGCAAATCCGTCGACCGTGTCAGCTGACACGATCTATCTTATGGGATTCTCGTGTTAACGAAATCTCACCACCGTATGACGATGACGTTGTCGTTGCTTCTCTCTCTCTCTCTCTCTCTGTCAACAGCATTTCATGTGTTGATACGGACGGCAGGTACGGAAGGACTCTAAACGTCAAATCGCTCAAAATTATAAATTTAAGATTTGAGCGGCAGCAAATACAATAATTTTAAACTAATGCTTCACTTGATATTTTTTCACTTATCAATCAAAGAAAAACAGCTCAATATGCACAAATTTATTAGCTAAATTTTAATGTTCAAAATTTTTCCTCTACTCCTGGTAGATTCACAGTTTTAAGAAACTCTCCCGGAAAAATAGTCCGGCCGACTTCGGGCTAGTGCGAAGCAAATATCACTCGCTCAAAAAGGCTCTCAACAGCCCGAGAACCAGCCAATAAGGCACAAATTGGCCACTTTCGGGCACCTGCGGGAGAGCAAGAGAACAGACTTATAGTGCGTCCCAGTTTCAAGAATCCAAAAGTTAGCAACCGTAGTAAATATGCTTGCAAATATGTACAGTTAATAGTACAGTTTAATATTCAGTTTATTTCAAGGATTTAAAAATTACAATGGACATACAAGTGTTGCTTGATATGCTCAAATAATAGAGATTTGCGCTCGTCGTTTTAATTTTTTTAAATATTTGTTATTCTCCGTTTGAGATAAATTCTTTATAATCTCTTTAATAACACCAATGCCTTTCCCATAGAGACGAAGCATTGGTTTTAAATCTTTGTATCCAAACAGAAATGCAATTGAAGTTACAGGCGGCCTTTTTTGGCAAACATAAATTTACGAATTCCGATTTCTCGGATTCCAAAACCGATTTCTCGGATTACAAAGGCCTTTTGATTATATAAATGTTTGCATTTAAAATACTTTTAATCCTTATTTATGTGCATGGGATCAAGGCAATTTCATGTTGAAAAAAATGTCATAGAGTGCTTGGAGCGTGCTCGCGCTCTTTATAGCTTCCTAATTCCCCGCGCGGTATGTAAATAAGTCACTGCCACAACATCGGCGTGTACGCATGTGTCACCACTCTTTTAAGTCCTGAACACATGTGACCACTTACGTAATATTTGTTCTCGCAGGTAAATTTTTATTTTTGAAAATTCTTTTTTCAACACTTTTATTGGGGTTGCTTGGGACCTCATGCGACTAATTGTGTGTTTAAGGGTTAATTGTTTCAAATGCCTCTCTGCCACCACAAACTTCTAATAAAAAAAAAAATAATAACGCTTAAAATCGCCAAGCTGGGAAAACTACGAAATTCCTTTTCTAAATACAATCCAGAAAACCTTGGTTTCATCAATTGCCCAGAAAAAAAACTGAAAATGTCGTACAGCGTAGTTACTTCGCCGCACCTAAAACGGAGATCTGCCATTGTGAAGCGTTCACTCTATGGTAAATAAACAAAAGGGACAACGTCGGACGCAACTGTAACTAGAGAGTATAGAGTTCAAACTACGTTCCACAGCACGCAGCCGCAAGGTAGTTTTACCCCTCTAGAAAGTAATGACATATGGATAGATAATGTCCGCTCGGTTGGTGACCTTCAATTAAAAACGCCAAAAATATTAATGCCGAAGCTATTAAGTGCTTTTATTAATTTATATATTTATTTTTTAAAAAGCGTGCGAATAAAATGATCACTACGATGTAAATAAAGTGAATATGCCTTAATTTCCCTTACTTCAGCCACATAGTTTTAGCCCTTCAAGTCCTCTCCAAGACCCATTTTTTGTATGAATGTATAAAGTGTAAAAGAAAATTTAGCGACCTGTGAAAGAGGGAACTTATTCGGTTTCGAAACACATACATACATACATATCGAGGGCTTATATTTTTATCTGCAAATTAAAATTAAAATAAATTCCGGATAAATATTGCCATCCAACTCTGCTTCAGCTGTCATTCTTGACATTATTCTTAACTTGAAGTCCATTAATAAATAGCAGAATTGGATTCTAGTATCAGAGCTGCAGATATGTTGTCCGAACATAAACCCTCTGTATATTCTACTTTTTAAAAATTACTCACCGACAAATTAGTAGCCAAATTAATCGGCACCAATTTCATGCCGAAAAAGCGAATCGAATATTGAGAGCGATGTAAAAAATATATCAACAAATTATTGAAGCGCTTATTTTGTGTAAACCAATTGCAATTGAAAATGGCTTGGCACAGGTCATCACAATCATCCAGTAAAAACGACGCGTGATAACATGTCGCCGAAGTTTGCAGCAGTACACCCAAATAGTAGGTGACTGAAGCAATCTTGGTGGACAGATCAGCAAAAATGACAATGTTAATCATAGTGACGCCAAGTATGGCCGCGGCTAGAAAAAACTGAGTAAATACAGTCACGGATATAACATCTCCAACGATGCCGGCAATTCTAGATGTGCATATAAAAGTAAATAATTTTATTATAATGCCCGAATTGCTTGCGCTCTCACACTCACCCTAGTATTTCCTGATGCATAACAATACATTCCAAAAGCTCATTGTAATTATCATCCGCACTTTTCTTCTCATCATAACCCAAACGTGCGATGCGATTTGCCAAAAGTTGTATTTGCGTGCGTATAATGTAAATATAAACAGCCGGATATGAGTCGTTTAAAACTTGATGATATAGTAAATATAAAAGCATGAGTGTATCAAAGCTAGCTTGTAGCCAGTACTCCCAAACAGATCTATGCCAATCCACATTCGGTAGCCAAAGCGTTAATGGCGCATGTCCACCAACCAGTGCAGCGACGATCGTCAAACTTCCATATAGGCCGTAAGAAAATCCAAAACCGAATACAAGTCGATTACCCGTTATGGCACATTTACGTATCTTAACCCTCTCCTCTGGTCGTGTGTAACGTTCATCGAGTTTCGACAATATGGGTTCAATGCTACGCAGATTTTTTTGCGCCATGGCTAAAGCGGTACATTTAATCGGTATACCTATGACATTTAATGAGGCTTGTACGCAGGTTAATACTTCCGTAATGGAGAGCTTATTTCGATCGCGCAGCCAACCAACATTACAAAACACCGGCGATAAAAGTACAACGAAGAGGGCTACGATTGAGTAGCAGTAATATGGTATCCGATATTTGTCGGGTGGATTATTGCCCAAATATTTGAAGCTATTGAATAAGTAGATGACTGCGTCGCGGGAGGCGAATACCTTGCGGCCGCGTCCCTGTATCAAGTCGAGCATAATTGCATTTACATGTGCGTCACGCTGGATTTTGAACTTAACTGGCGCATTCGAGTTGGGATTGTGATTTATATATAAATATAAATAGCAGAATGTATATAAATAATTTGATTGAATCAATATCCATAAGAGGGTTCAGTGATTTGCAAAAAACAATCAACACCTACTGCTTAGTGTGACTTTTCAATCCCAACAACATCTGCAATTTCAGCTTGGAAATGCAAATTTATTCTATACGTAAAGATATTAGAAAATTTATAGGGCGGGTTCAACATATTTGACTATTCGCAACCTTCGTACACACCTATTCGCACTTATGTACATACATATGTATGTATTAGACTGCAGCACTCCCCATACAAAAAAAAAATTGGTACTGTTTTTTCATTGGAATTATAAAATCTATTGTATTTTAAGACGTCCACCAAAATATTTCGGAAAAATATTAAGACATAAGCGAGCTGGACCGAATAGTTTGTTAAAAAGGTTTTTTGACCAAAGAAGTTGCTTTACGAAGTTTCATGTTTATGACTTTCGGCATGCCTGAGATCTGCAATGGGTATTTAAGCACCCAATAGGCTAATACGGGTTCTGAGTCTATGAGAAATTTTTTATCAATGGCATAAGTGCCATCAGAAAAAAGATGTTTGCGAAGTAAAAGCAACGAAATAGAAAAGTATCGAGCGTGTTGATATTTCATAAAAAATTAATGCTTAACAGTTCAGAAAATGTAACTTGCGAGAAGTTGCAGGCAGAATTGGACAGTTGGATCGTTTAGGAAGATGCAGCCAAAATACATGTTAACATTACACCGCCACACGATGTTTTGATGCCATTGAAGAATTGGACGACAATATCCAAATTGTCAATGAAGGCAATGAGTTTCCTAGCCAAGTAGCAGGCGACATGGTGTCAGGGAATGTTCTTTCAGGTAATAATAAAGATTCCCCGTCAAGTTCTGTTTTAAGTAAGTGTTGTATTTAAAATTAAAGAAAAGGGCTAGATGGATGAGTCTATATTATAAAAGTCTCCTCATAATAATTGCATATGAGTGAGTAAAAAATTTTTAAGTTTTAAAGAGCGCGGCTTGTTTCGAACCATTTCGGGATTAGTCCCAGGGACTATATGGCTGGGTCTAGTTAGTTTGGAACTAGATTAAAGCCACTTTGGGGCTAGTTTCAGACTACTTTTCGTCTAGTTTGGGGCAAGTTCGCGACTAATTGTTCATAATAGTTCGTCCAACAAATGTTTTTTTTTGCTTTTAATAAAAAAAGCTAAGTAAACTCGTTAGCAGAATATTTTGGGTAACTAAAGTATGAATTTACATTAAATGTAAAAAAAAACGTTGTGCTTATAGAAAGAAGAGACTTTCATTTCTCCTATTTTTTTTTTAGAATATATTACACACTCCAGCAGGTTGGGTATTTAAATACCCAAGTGGGGGTATTTGGCTCCAGGATCTAAGAGGGCTAAGAAAATTACAATATGTTTTCTTATAAACTCACAGGGCTCTGGAGAGAAACTGTTTACAATTTGTTTCCCCAGTATTTAATATTTTCTAGTTTATTTCGAAGTTTTATATATACATGTTTTCATTTTAAGAAATCTCTCACCTTTCACCTTGAGAAAGAACAACTACTAATCAGAATTTCGTCTTACTTTATGAAGAGAGTACATTACTTCATCTCTTTTTCCATGATCTGAAATGAAACTCAAGTCAATGTCTCTCACGGCTTTAAATACTCATTGGGCAGTAATGGGTTAAGGGTGTGCACAAAATATTTTGCTTGCATAGCCTTTCTAGTGTACAGTAGTTAACTGTTCACTTTTTTACTGTGTTTGATTTTATGAATACACTGAAATTACTGTTATCTTTCATTAAAAGCACACGACACACTGTATTGCAGTGACGAAGCAAATTTTACTGTTTAATTTCAATAGACAATAGTGTCAACCGAAATTCAATAGTGTCGATACCCTCTGGGGAAAATGTCTAATTTTCTAACATAACCCAGCCATTATTAATTAATAATTATAATCAAAAATTATCAAAAAGATTCATGATTAATTGCCATAAATAAATAATCCAAAATAACCAAACAATTAAAAAAAAATTAAATAATCAAAATTAATCAGATTATTTTTTTAATTATTTGATTCTTTTTAATTTTTTGACTATTTTTAATTATTTGATTGTTTTTAATTATTTTATTATGTTCAGTTATTTGATTATTTCTAATTATATGATTATTTTTAATTATTTTTCCAAATAGATGAAGCTGTGTTTGGCAGGCAAATTTTTATAACTTTACATTGTACACATACCTGAAACCAAATTCACTGTACGAGCAAATGCTTCTACTGTAGTTTACAAGTAAGAAATGATTTCTTCTAGGTATTGTCGTTTATACTGTTAGAAAGAATTTTTTTTTTTATAGGAAACACCGTCAACTAAAAATTACCAGAAATCAAAGTAATTCTCAGGTTTTTGAAATTTGCTCTTTGCCTTACAAAAATTCAATGGGCTACAATACGGCATCCTTCAAATTTTTCTAAATAATCCAGTATATTTTGCTTAGCCTCTACTTCTTTGCACGAAAAACACAAAAGTAGAAGAAAATGGTAAACGATATTAGAAAAGTAGTACGAGAATTATGCATGGTGGATTAATGCCCAAATATTTGAAGCTATTGAATAAGTTGATGACTGCGTCGCGAGAGGCGAACACCTTGCGGCCACGTTACCGTTTCAAGTAGAACATTAATGCGTGTCATCCACGCTCGATCTTGAACTTAGCTCTCAGCCTCGTGCAAGAATCTCGATTCATAGAATCAACTCAATATATATGTATATGGGCAAATAAAAAAACAGGTAACCCTTATGTTATTTTGCCGTATTTTCATTGTTGTAAACTATATCAATCTGGTTGCTTTTGGATATAATTTTTAGATTTGAAGCCTCAAAACAATTTTGAATCAATTTGTTGCATAACTCTTGAGTTATAGATGTTTTAATGATTTAATGCAATGCTTCAAAAAATATTTCGTTCGAAGTGTATAAAAACCCTGATTTGCTACTTTTTTATTGATGATCCTTCTTTTAGTGAGAATATTTCGAATGAGGTATCAAATCAAAGTTTTTTCGACAAAGGTTCTGATAGTTGTTCTTACTTACATGGAGCCTTCTTAATTCAATGGCGTTACCAACTTTGCCAGATTGGCTCCACTTTTCGAGATGGCGGTACCTGAACCTTTGCTTAAATTTTAACTATTTTATAAATAACTGCCTCAGTTTTGAAGTTATTTCATTTAAATATTGCACATGACTGTTTTTTAATAGATATTATCTCAACTATTCCATAAAATCGTCGAAATTGGTTCACTTGTTCACATGTAGCTCCCATACACCTGGTTGTTAATAGACGTTTTTTTGCGTTATAACTCCTCCAATTAAGCAGGTAAAAAATGTATTCTATTTGTATTCATCATAAACACTTTTAACTTTGTCTTTATGATGAAGTTAGAGGCCAAACTAAAAATATGAATAATCAGTTGTATGGAAGCTATATGTTAAAGTGAGCCTATTTCAATGATTTTCCGAATTAGTTAAAGAAATATTAACAAATAGTGCTCTTTGACTAACAATTCGATAGTACTGTCTGTTTCTTTTAAGTTCTTTTGGTTACTGTATAGACATAAGACCGCGGTATAGCTTAGATACTCAATTACCTCGAATTTTAGATATACTTGTAGGCTTCATTTCATTATAAGTCATTTCCACAGCCTCCAATTTTCCTCCTGGTTTGTTTAGGCCTTCCGCTCTTTCAGCTTGTTTTCAGCTACCACTTTAACCTTTGGTAATCACAAAGACTCTTGAAACTTATTCGTGAAGTATTCTATTACTACTTCATGTCGCCATCAAAGAGTACGCTCCATATCTATTAAAAATTTCAGGAGTTAGTTCTAGTATTTTTAGCAATATAATCAAATTTGAATTAAAAACTTCGAGTATGTAGAGATAAACACTTTAATAAACAATAAAAAAATTAAGTTCAGAATCCACCTGATCTTGCTGGCAACAGATTTGGACAGTGCCATTCATTTACTTTAATAAGAGCCTTTCCGATAAAAGCATTGGATATCATAGATCGCAATACATGATAATTAAAAAAAATGAAACAATTTGAATTAAAAATTTAAATCTTTAATTCGACACCTTTTACATAGAAAAAGTATTTCCCACTAATATTTCTCTTTGGATTTATTTTGTTTTGTAATCGATTGCAGTGATTTGCAAAAATATTTCATCACCTACTAGTGTGACTTTTCATACCCAACGCCATCTGCAAATTCAACGCGAAAGTGTGAATTCATGCTTAATAAGCATGCTTATACCTGAAGATATCAATGTACACATGTACAATGGGCATTTCCACTCTGACATTACGCGACACTTGGTTGACAAAGTGTTAAAAAAAAAATGAAAAAGTCAAAATTTCAAAAAGGGTTTTTTAGATTTGCATAGCAATAAAAGGGCTCCTTATTATATTAAAAAAATTACAACTGTTGGTAGTAGCGATTTAAAGATGTAAAAATATGCGCGTTGGCGTGACGTTACAATAAAACAGAAGTGGATTTTGACTTCGATTACAAAATTACAAAACTCTGTGAATTAAGCAAGACGATTTGTATAAAAGTTTTTGTAGTAACATTCGAAATATTTAAGGTTAATTTTTCCAAATTTGAAATGCAAAAATCTTGTATGATTTATGTTTGATCAGCTGAAGTGACGTTACCTGGCTTTATGTTACTAAAATTTCCATGGAAAAAGTTTTGTTAATATTGTTCTTGAAATAAGTTTTAAGTAGAAGAAAACATGCATTTTATGTTGAACGAACTTTTAATTTTAACATCAGCGCCACCAGCGGTTCCATTTTTCGCAAATCTATGTCTTACTACGCTTCAACTAAACATGCGGGGATACATATCCAGTATTGCCAGGTTGACGAGGATTTGATGATTTTATGACC